TTGGGAATTTTTAGGGGTTTTACGGTTTGGGGTTTTTAGGGTTTAGGGTTGTTAGGGTTTAGATGGTTCTATGGTTTGTAAGTTTTTTGGAGATTTTTAAGGGCTTTACGGTTTAGGGTTTTCAGGGTTTAGGGTTTTTAGGGTTTAGGGTTTTTAGAATTTAGGGTTTTTAGGGTTTAGGGTTTTTAGGGTTTAGGGTTTTTAGAGTTTAAGTGTTTTTAGGGTTTAGTGTTTTAGGGTTTTGGGTTTTTAGGTTTAGGGTTTTTAGTGTTTAGGTGGTTTCATGGTTTTTAAAGGTTTCCAGGGAGTTGTTAAGGGTTCTACGGTTTAGATTTTTCAGGGTTTACGGCTTTTAGGGCTTAGGTGGTTCTTAGCGCTGAGGATGCCCACTCGACCCCTCTGGAACCCTTCTGGAGGGGGCCAGCGGACCGCACCCCAGTGGTGTTTGACGCAAAAAGGNNGATGCCCACTCGACCCCGCCCCCCTCTAAATAGTAGTTTCCATTTTCTTTTCCATTATCCAAATATAACCCCAGCATACCCTAAACCCTAAACCCTAAATAGTATCGATCTGGTTTTCCATTACCCCAATATACCCCAAATTAGCCCCCTATAAACCCTATCATCCCAGCTTCCATTTGATTATCCATTTTGGGTGGTAGCCACTTTCATTTCCATTAACCCCATATAAGCCCTAAACCCTAAACCCTAAACCCTACAGTAATACCCTGAAATTTAGCAGCCAGGCTTCTGGAGTGGTTCCAGAGAAATCAGCAATCGTAGCATCAGCCCCGGCCTTCACAGAAGCACTGTCAAAACCGTATATTACAATACACTATAATATACTACAATATATCATTGTATATTATAGTACATTATCATATATTTTAGAGTATGCTACAGAATTGTAATATACTAAGATATACTGCAATATATTATAGTACATTAGAACTTATTAGAGTATATTACAGAAGATTATATGCATGGCTTCCTACATGAACTCTTGCAGCCCTGTCTTCAGCACCGTAAAGAGGCCCTTTTCGACAGTGTGCTGTCTTCGTAAAGAATGTTGAACAGAAAAGAGGAACTACCATGACATATTGAGGTAATGGAAAATGGAAACTACCATGTTATATTGGGGTACTGGGGACTTAGAAGTCGCATTATACCGGGTAAGCGGTTTGGAGACATTATTCTCAAAGTCTATGTGCGAAGGTCTTTGGCCTTTGGCTTGGATTGGTGGGTCATGGGGCAGGCAGGAAGTCCGCACAAAAACACTCTCCGGGAGAGCTGTGAAATTGGATGCTACGGGCATTGGCGATGCTGCTTGGTCAGTCCAATCAAAAGACGTGTCTGCTGCCTTGCCAAAGCGTCGTGGAGAGGTTTAAACGAGAGCCTCGCTGGGGTCTGGTATCATTACAGGCAGACACACAAGAGCTAAAGCACCGATCACCTTCAGGCAGCGTCCCTAGCATGATACCTGCAAGCGCCTTCAGCAAAAGCTGCACGATCTTCAAGTGACCCTTTGCACTTGCCTGGCAGATTCTTGGACTTGGCAAAACGTTTCAAATACCCTTAAAATGGCCTAACTTTGTACCCATCATTTGGGGGGGTAAATCCTACTATTCTGGGTATTGGTGAGGTCTAGGAGCGCGTGAGGGGGAGCTTTTCGAAAGAGCAGCCACTTCAGGATCTTGAAGCGCTGAGCGAATAACAGGGGACTGGTGACTGAAGTGATTCCTTGTAGCTCCTTCTGCGTAACACTCTGATACTTTGGGTCCTGCCCCCACCCAGTAACAGTCTATAATTAGTAGGGAACATACTAAGGGCTCTATATAACAATATTTTAATTATCATTCAACTGTTCAACTGTTCACGAGTGGGGGCGGTACCCAACTGATACTTCATGTTCTTGCTGGTAGCCAGAAGATACTGCGCAACATCTGACATGAGTGAGTAGAGGGTGCTTCATACTTAGGGAAGCTATTCAGCATGAGGGTTCGCCCCTTTACCCCCCCAAAAAATAGAGTCTTGTACTCCCCAGACAAGCCTTGTACTCCCCAGACAATTTGCTTTGTCTAGACTAAACTCCTAGTATCCCCCTTCATAACCGCTATCATTCTCCACTATATAACTCCGTATATAACCCCTTTAAGGAGTTTAGAGTATGGCTCAAGTACTTACAGAATAGGATGCATGCAGGATTGTGCTACGGTGGATGCTAAAAATCTGCATGACCCTAGGTACGATATGCCTTGGGAAATATCGTATTATAGTATATCATGATCTTAGTGTATAGCACCATCATTCTAAAGGCAGAAGGTACTAGGGCCTTGCAGGATTTGTAGTATCCCCCGTATTTTTGCCAGAAGAGGACTTCATGACATCGAGACAAACAAAGTACTTAGACATTACGACGTGCCCTCTCCGGCCGCCCCTCAAACAGACCACAACACCCTGAACCCTAATATAGCAATCATAGTAGTCATAGTAACAGTGGTAACTATTTAGGAAAAATAAGAGAAGAAACAAAGGTCATGCATACCCCCAGCCGCGAGGCCCAAAACCGTAAAATAATCCCCCCAGACCCAGGCCCCCGAACTCCAAACCCTAAACCCTACACTCCAAACCATACATTCTAAGCCATGTGGCCTTCATGAG